GCCCTTTTTTATAGTTTATTTAGAGCCAGGGTCTCACTGAGTTGCTTAGCACCTCACCATTGTTGAGGCTGGCTTTGAATTTGCAATCCTCCTGCCTCAGCCTCCCCAGCCGCTGGGATTACAGAGGTTTGCCACTGCACTCAACTGAGACGACGCATTTTTAAAAGGGTTCCCCAAGACAAATCGAGGATGCTACCTGCCCCTGCACCTGCATGAATCAGCACGGGCTTGGCTTCATTTAGGTCTCTGCTCAAAAAAATCACCTCCTAAGAGGGTCCTTTCCTGATGGCCTTATCTAAAGTGTCACTGCGTGTGGAATGGGGTCCTGGATCCCATCTGTTTTGTTCTTTGCTGAATCCCCAGCATCAGTGGAACACCTGGTACCAAGCAAGCACTCAAATATTTGTCCAGTGCACAGATCCCGGTGTGACAAGCAAGCAAAATGAAACTGGGGAGCCGAAGCCATGTGTCCAAGGTCACACAGCTAATCAAAGCCAGAGCAGAGGCTGGGCCTGCTCTGTCTGCACTTCAAAGCCCCAGGTCTCTCCACCAGGCCAAAGGGAAACAAGTCTGTTTACAGCAGGCTTCCTCCCCGAGAACTCGAGGGTCTTCCTGCTGTGAGGCAGTAACACGGTTCTGCGGGCTGTTTTTTAAGAGCTGCCTGGTTATGTGGACAATGACTGGAGGGGACCAGAGTGGAAGCAAAGAGGACAGTTCAGAGGATGCCACAGTGGTCCAGGACGATGCATGGCAGTCTCAGGGTTCCTCGGTATTTATTTATTTATGTATTTGGTACCAGAGATTGAACCCAGGGGTGCTTACCCACTGAGCCACATCCTCAGATCTTTGTATATTTTATTTAGAGACAGGGGCTCACTGAGTTGCTTAGGGCCTCGCTAAGTCGCTGAGGCGGGCTTTGAACTCACGATCGTCCTGCCTCAGCCTCCAGATCCCCTGGGATTAGAAGCATGCCCCTCCACACTCAGTTGGTTCCTTGAGACTTGGGGTAAGAGGAGCTCTACTCTCCTGGGGTCAGAGCCAAGGCAGCCTTCCTGTTAGGTCTCTATCAGGCCTACTGGGGCCCAACCCTCCCTCCAGGGGGTTCATGGTCTCCCAAGGCAGAGGAGGGTAACATGGATTTTAAACTGCCAAAAAAGAAAATTGTGGTGTCACACAAAAGGTCACCCAACAGCACACCCGTGGGGGAAAAGGAGGAGCGGCTTCCTTTCCAGCGATGGGTGGAAATGCTATGAAAAGCCCTCTTCATGGGTCAAAGCGAAGCCCTTCTGCTGCTAGCAGGGAAATGGCTTCAACATGAAAATCTGTCCCACCCCAATGAGAGGGTCTCTCTCCAAAGGAAAAGCTCCAGAGTCGGCTGAAAATCAAGCACTGTCTTCCCATCGCAAAATGCAAAATGAGTTGGGTTAAATGTCTTAAAATTCTCATCGCAAGTTCAAAGCTAGCCTCAGCAACTTAGAGGCCCTCAGCAACTTAGCAAGACCCCGTGTCTAAAAAACACACAAAAAGGGCTGGGGATGGGGCTCAGTGGTTAAGCACCCCTGGGTTCAATCTGAGGCTTAAAATCCTCCAAGAAGCTGTGGTCATGAGGTCTCAAGGGACCCCAGACACCTAGCATCCTCAAAGACCCTATAAGTCCTCCTGAGCAACAGTTGAGAGGAAGCTCAAAATAGTTAACAAAATGAGTGAATATTTCCTGCATACCTGAGAGTAGGCAACGTTGACAACATCTCCCCTCATCCCTGCAATAAGTGTGTAAGGGAAGTGCCCTTGTTCTTCCCACTGAACAGCTAGGGACACTGAGAAACTGGGAGTGTTAGTGACTAACCAGGGGTCAGAGGTCAAGCAGGAGGGGAGGACAGGCACCAAGCTACACCCCCACACTACCCACAGGCCTCTGGTGGGAGCTGAGCCACAGGCAGGTAGGGGAGAAAAGAGAAGATGGAACCCACCTACCCTGCCCTGCCTCATCCCCTTTAGAAAGCAAATGGATCAA